GACCAAAGAGAATAGAAGGAGAATTGATGCCTTTGAGCTGTGGTGCTGGAGAAGAGTATTGAGAATACCATGGACTGCTAGGAAAACAAACAGATTTGTCCTGGAAAGGGTTAAACCGAGTGGCTTCTTGGAGGCAAGGATTCTGAGGCTCCGTCTAACATACTTTGGACATGTTGTGAGGAGAGACCGGTCCTTGGAGAGGGATATCATGCTTGGGAGAGTGGAGGGACAGCGCAGGAGAGGAAGGCCCTCTATGAGGTGGATTGATTCAGTGACTGGGATAATTGGGATGGGAGTGTCAGAGACGGTGCAATTGGCACAGGACAGAGTGGAGTTTAGGGCTGTTGTACATAGGGTCGCTATGAGTTGCAAGCGACTCAACGGCACATAACAACAAACAACAACAAGGCCTTGCTGGTATGGCGCTTTCTCAAAAAGTTGCAAATAGAGATACCATTTGACCCAGCAATTCCACTACTGGGAATATACCCTGAAGAAACCAGAGCTGACATCCAAGCAGATATATGCACACCCATGTTTATTGCAGCTTTGTTCACAATAGCAAGGAGTTGGAAACAACCTAAGTGCCCATCAACAAACGAATGGCTAGAGAAGCTGTGGTATATTCGCACAATGGAATACTATGCTGCATTAAAAAACAAGGAACTCATGCAATATTATTCAAAATGGTTGACTCTGGAGAACATTATGCTGAGTGAAATATCCCAGTCACAAAAGGACAAATATTACATGATGCCACTGTTGTAGAATGGGACTGTCCTTGGGGTTGGGGAGAGACTGAGTAAGATGGGTTCAATAATGTATACTGCACTGAAACAGAGGAGGGAGAAAACTGTTTAAAAGAGGTATATAACTAGGTATTTCTGTCATCACAGGAGACTAGAGCGAGGGCTACATGGTGGAGGGGACCTGGGGGAGGGTTTGTAAAACAATGAAAGAATCTTTTCTTTTACTTTTCCATAATTTTTGGACTCATGTACTTATAACTTGTTAGTCAAATTTGTGTCTTCTAGGTTGCAACACCCCCATGATACATCTTCAAGGATATGAACATGTACGGCCAAGCACAATCAATAAGAGTGCATCTAAATTCCAAAATCAATCTCCATAATAGTCTATGTGTTTCCTACTGCCAAAGGGGCCCTTTAGAGTAGTGAGAGAAGATCTTCACCCTGAAACCCACAGGGTCCCTTTTCAGCAGGAAGTAGCTAAGAGAATACGCCATCCCCTTTTCCTTATGACTCAGAGTGAAGTCTCTCTCAGGGAGGAGTGATAGGGAATGGCAAAGGACACAGTGACAAAGAAGATTAATCAGAACTGGCTTTGACAAGCACTGTGGCATTTGGACAAGAACAAACTGGGAGGAGGGTAGAGAGAATAGTGCAACAATGAATGAATGGAAACCCAAAATCTCTGTAAATGTTTATGAAAATTAATAAAATGTAATTATAGAGAAAAAAAAAGAAAATGAGTCATTAAAAAAAACAAACAAGGCCTTGCTGGATAAGGCAAAAAGGGCAGGATTGCACAGTGGGGGTGAGGGAGAAGGTAGGTTTCGGGGGCGGGGGTGTGGTGGACGCATCCATAGGTAACAATTGATGAAGCCACTAGGATGATGGCCTTACCCAGGGAAGGGATTTGAACTAAGAACCAGCCACAGGCTGACTCAGTAAGATACCCCAATGCAGTGAGGTCAACTGGAAAGGAGCAACTAGTGAAGGCAGAGCTAGGCTGCAAAACTTCCCCCCAAGAGGACACCCCCTCCTTCGCCCTCCGCCCATCTAAATGGCACTAGGCTGACCCACCTCCTCCATAATCATTCCTGCATACACACTCACCACACTGTCTTGAGCTATTGGTGACCATCTCTTCTCCTCTAGCATCACGTAAGGGCTGTGCCTGTGTTGATACCTCTGTGACCCCTACAGAACAGCTCCAGGCACATCGAAGATGCTGTGTTGTTCATTGGGGAATGGATGCTCCAGTAAGAGGATGAAGGAGCTGGCTGGTTGCAAGGGCTGGACCAGAAGCCACACCTCTTCCAGCTGACGCTGAACGTCCAAGAGGACAAAGGGAGGCTACAGCTCTCTGCCTCCTAAATCAAGAGACCTTGTGCTCCAGCAGCAGCGGGCCCAGGTCGCAGCATGGTGACACACCTTCCTCATCTTTGAGGGCTGGAAGCAAGCATGCAGGCTCCTATCCAATGGGCGTCTCAACAGGACAAGAACATCTAGCGTCAAGATCTTGAGTCCACTGTTTGTTTACCGAGTGACCTCAGACAAATCATTGGACCTTGAAGAGCTTCCTTTTTTGCAGACAATTCCAGTAATATTCCCTTGAATGCTTACCATTGTGCCTGGCACGTGGTGGTGAAGCGTTCTGTAAATGGCAGTGTTACTCCTGTTAAAGGGCTCTCTGGCATGCTGGAGCACGTTGGAGCAAAGAGAACTCTTCTCTAATGTAACATCTTCTCTAATGTAACATCTTCCATCCCCGCCCCTCCTCTGCCTCTACCACCTGGGAGTTAATTAGAGTCCTCCTTGGGTGTTTTCCAGAGGTGGGATTTTACACTTGAACAAATGGAGGCAGGTTTCTGTCAGGAAAGCAAAAGGTTCCTTCAAACAGTGAGTGCCCTGTCACCTTCTGTCCAGACGAGCCTGGATGACCGCTTGGCAGTGATGCCCTGGATCGTAAACCCAATTATATTAATATTTCTTGCTACACAATTGTATTGTAACTCCTTTTAATGAAAGGGTGGTGCTAGTAGGCCTCAATACTTTGTCATAATTTGGCAAGCTAATAGAAAAAAAAAGTTGACAATCCCAAACTGGCCCTCCAAATAGAGATTCTGAAGTTGTGCCAGTCTGTGACATCCAAAAATCTTGAGATCCAAACTCAGGCAAGGACTTCAAATACAGCCCCTTCTGGGTTCCAAGGTTACAGATACCCTCACAGACACCATGGACCCTGGAGATTGAAATCGTAGGCAAGATTTTCTGAATTTAAATAAATTATGGTTTCATTTAGGGCATGGAAGGAAGTCCCAGGTCGGCAGACATAAGAGGCCACGGTGAAGAGGTACTTACTAGTGAGGGTGGGCCAGCCTAGGGAAATTGTGACCTCCTTGTTTCTGGGAGCTGGGAGCTAGGCCATGGGGACTGCAGTGGAGGACCTGGGCTCCGTACCTACTTCTCTCTGATCCACTCCATTCTCCTTCGGGCAGCCAGCCAGTCCCCTCTGATGACCAACCACCAACCTCCTAAAAGGCTGAGCCACTATACTCATTCCCAAGGTTATAGCCCTCAGGTTTCCAGCCCTTAGTCCCAGCCTGGGAGTGACCCTCACCCGTGGAACATGCGTAGCCAACACCAGCAGAGAAGTTTAACGAATAACAAGATGAACCCTGGTTCTGGAGATTTTCTGCCCCATCCTCACTTCCCTAAATGAAATTCATCCCTTTCATTTAGTCTTATAAGACTTACTACTACTAAATTCCTATCCATTTCGACTTGTGACAACTTCAAGTGTTTACGTAACTGCCCCAGAGGGTTTTCATGGGGGCAGTCTTCATGGAAGTCCCACTGGACAGGTCTGAACTGCCAATTCTGACACATAACCATCCTAAATGACAGTTGTCATGGCTAAGTGCCATCAACTATGACTGAGAGCAACCCTGTGAACACCAGATATATCGGAAGCTTGCCTTATTTCATGTCATTCCCATGACCTCCACCTTGCTCATGGCCACTGGGGCTGCCACTGTGTTGATCTATCTTACTCAGGGTCTGCCTTTACTTTGCTCTCTTTCCTAACATAACGTCTTTTTCCTTCTGAGAACAAGCCCAAAGTATGAGATGAAGTTTCACCATCCTTGCTTCTAAGGAGGACTCTGGTTGCATTTCTGAGGAACATTTCTTTTTTTGGTATTGATACTCAGGCTGGAGACTAAGGTGCGCCTGATCCAGGCTATAGTCATTGCAATTACGTGCTATGCATCGTAGAGTTGGCCAGTGAATAAGGATGATAGAAAGAGAATTGATGCCTTTGAGTTGTGGTGCTGGAGAAGAGTCTTGAATATACCATGGACTTCTAGGAGAACAAACAGGTTTGTCCTGGAGAGGGTGAAGCCAGAATGTTCCCTGGAGTCAAGGATTCTGAAGCTTCGTGTGACTTACTTTGGGCATGTTGCAAGGAGGGACTGGTCCTTGGAGAGGGACATCATGTTTGGAAGACTGGAGAGGCAGCACAGGAGAGGAAGACCCTAGATGAGATGGATTGATTCCGTGAATGGAGTGGTGGGAATGAATGTGTCTGAGACAGCGAGGTTGGCACAGGATAGAACGGCATTTAGGGCTCTTGTACATAGGGTCGCTGAGTCGCAAACGACTCGATGGCACATAACAACAACTGCAGACCAAGTCAATGATCAGGTTTCCTAAACAAGGCTTGACAGGAGCAGAATGTCAGGCTTTTCTTCCCACTTATGACACTGGTAGGTCTGAACTGATTATTACCTAAGGGTTTAATCATTGCACGACTAGGGCTCCTTGTGCAGGACACCCCCTAAAGCTGGAGCTATACCTTAGAACCGGCCAATGAGGGGGGAGTGGGGTGTCCGAGTAGTTACAGCTCTTTCTGTTGTTGCGGTTATAGAGTTGGGCCTCATTGTTGAGCCTCCAATGGTTCTCTCCATCTTTCTCCTGCAGAGAAGCTGGTGGATTTGAACTGTGAGCCTTTGGGTTGGCAGCACAACTCCTTACCACTAAACCACCCTAGCTCTTTGTAGTCTATGAGAAAAAACAAGCAATTAAAGACTCAGGATTGTTCTGGATTCCAGTCTTCTTGAGCTTCAACATACACTGCTATGGCTCACCCCCCACAAACACAAAGCTGTGTGGACTCCCAAACTCAACTGGATTCTGAGGGCCACCCTCCTTCCCCCCTCCAACCAGAATGAGGAGCTAGAGGACAACATGGAATCAAGTATACATTTTAAAAACTGTTTAATGGAACATAAACTCCTTTAGAAAAACATTCAGCTAGGTGATGACACCCATAGAAAAAAACACCAATCTTGTGTTTCTTTTTTTTTTTTAATTTGGCATTTGTTATTTGCATTTATATTAAAGCAAAGTGCATCTTTCTTTATTCTTCTTGTTTATACACATTGCACAATACATAAATAATGATGCTTATAAAACGTCTTTATATTTACAAGTAATAATATATTTATATATAACATAAAATACACTTTTTTCTTTAATAAATCTCAGGTTTTTGTGGGATTTTTTGTTTGTTTTATTTTCAGGAGTCCTTTCTCTCTCAAAGCACTACAATGCTAAATTTCCAATGAGAATGCTTCTCTTGTTCATTTAAACCTTTGTAGTTAGAAAAATAGCTTATGTTAAAGTCTAAACATGCTCATTGAGCTAAGAACAGTGTCGTAGTCTCATACGAGTGTATGAGTTTGTAGGAGAAATGAAAGGAGTTAGGTGGCAGCCTGGGAAGGTACCTTGAGTTTTGATGGACCAAATCTTCAGTGGAAAGGGGGGGCTGCTGAGGCCTCCCGCCCAAGCACACTCCCCAAGCTGGTTTAACAGCAGTGCTCAACACACAGGTTGTGCAGGGGGATGAAAGTGCTGAGCTGGTTTCTGAGTCTGGAGAAAACCTGATGTCACCAGGGCAGGAGAGAGAGAGAGAGAGAGAGAGAGAGGACAAGAGGGCACAGGTGAGCAATACTGTGACGGCGGGCTGCCCTGGCGGCCCTCGGAAGCCCATCTCAGATATCCAGGCGCAGATGGCCAAAACAGACACTATCATGGCAACGGGGCGGGAGGGGGTAAGACTGGGATGAAAACAATTGGTTCCGGTTCAGACTCAAGCAGGGTTGCTTCCAAGAAGCCTGTGGATAGGCCCGTGTCCTGGGAGGGGCGGGGGCGGGGCGGGGGCTTCCCCAGGCTGAGACAGAGCCTGGCTTCTGGCAGCTGCTGGGACGCAGTCACCAGCTTGCTCAGGTACCGCCTCTGCTCCACTGAGCGTGTCCAAAGGCCAAGAGAGCCACAGCTTGGGACCACAAACTGCTCAGCCGGGGGCATCCTTAAGAAACACAAAAGGGCACGCAGTTTCCTCTCAACGGCCTTTCCCATACACGTTCACACTCAGCCAGTCACTCACACGTACACTTTGAAACAAATGAAATGACCCCAAAGTTGACGAACTGCTCCTCATTCACACGACGTGTTTGGTGGTGGTCTGATTTTGCATCTCCCCCTTTTCATATGGGGGTGTCCTGCCAACCATACACCTCCCCCCAAATAAACCCCAACAATTCTTTTCATAAGCTATTTCTCAAAGAACAAAAACAAAACAACATAAACAAGAACAACGAAGGAGGGGAGAGGGGAATTGGGGAAGAAAAAAAAAGAAACAAAACAAAACAACCAAAGAGTTTTGCATGAAAAGCAAGCACTCAGGAGGAAAATATTAGCAGCAAAGTAGTTTGAAGTGTGGCCTGCTCGGCTCACGCTCTGTCCTCTCCACACGTGGCTACCGGCTGTTGAAGATGACCTCCAGCCAGCACGGGCAGCTGCTGATGAACTGGCGGGTGTAGCACTGGCCCCAGCCCTTCACGAAGCTGATCTGTACAGTAAACCCAGTCCACGGCTGCTGCATGAACTCGTGGTCGTTGGGCCGCTGTAAGCTGTACGCCTTCTCGTAGTCAAACGCCTTGATGGAGAAACCGGGGAACACCTTGTGTACCAACAGCGTCCTGGAGTCCGGGTTGTCCAGTGTGGCTGACTTGATGAAGATGGGGTAACTGCTGCGGTTGTACACCCACACGCCGTCCACTTCCCGCGTGAGCTGGATGCCACAGCCAATCTTGCTCCGCACTTTCTGCACCAGCTGACTCTTGTTGTCCGAATTGAGCTGTCCGAGGCAAAAGCCATTCCCCTGAGGTAGATCATAGAAGATGTCCAGGGAGGGCTCCTGGACACAGTAGAGCCTCCCCACTCTCGTCTTCTCCTCCCAGTATGCCACCACGCACCAGTGTGACCGATCCCCAGGCTCCAGAAGAAGTTGGGAATCTATAAAACAAAATGGTAAATGTGGTTAGTGGAGAAGGAGACAGGCTCAAGGCTGATCCAGGTACCTATGTGCACACACACACACACACACACACTCTCTCTCTCTCTCTCTCTCTCCAGCCACCACCAGCTTGCACAGCGGGAATGGAAGAGGGTGATGGAGGAGGACACTGGGTACCTCATCCTTCCAGACCTCCATCCTCTCTGAGACTCAGAACACCAGCCCTGTTCGTGCAGACCATAGCATTCAGGGGACCTAACCATTTATCTTGTCCTAGTTTCAGGAACCAAATTTGCTTGAGGGGATGAATTCAAATTACAGAGCCTACAGCTATGGATGGACCCTGGCTCCGTGACACCCTGACCAGAAACCAGGGACCCAGGCAAGCCTGATGCTCCAGAAGCAAATGTCGACACAGTCAAACCCAGAACCCAGCTCTCCAGCCTGGAGGTCCACCTACTCCTCTGTGTTTGTTTCCTACTCTCAAGCCACTCCCTTGCTCACAGGGGGCTCAAATGGGGACCAAAACACCTGTCTTCCCAAAAGAAAAACAAGCCTCAGATGTCAGCAGCAGCTTTGGACACAAAGGGTGAATTCATGTCAAAATGCCATTATCACAACACACAGGTTAGTATTAACCCAGACGACCTTAACAGCTTCCTCTGGCCCAGACAGAGGATTATGTGTCTAGCATGGACACGGCCATCCTCGGCCAGCCTGCCTCAATCCTCTTCCAGAAGGATCCAGACACAGTGACACTTTACACAGGATAGAGCTGTTCCTCCTTCTTCCCTCCTGGGAAGCCCCACCCCAGCTCTCAGGGACAGTCCTTCCCACAGGCTGGGTGACTCAGAGAAGGACACTGTCTACAGGAACCAAGTCCTCCCGGACTTTAAAGAGGGTCATGTAGGGTGTGAAGGAGCCCCAGTGGCTGTCACCCCTGAGTCCTCCTTAAGCTGAAGCTGGAGCTGGTAGTGGTAGGCCTCAGACAGAGAGCCGTAAATCTCCCAGCCCAGACAGGCTGCAGGAACACTGTGGTTTGTGGTGGCAGGGTGGAGACCGGAAGTCTTGTATTTGTTAACAAAAAATGGGGAAAGGCAAGGGGGAAAAAAAAGATGAGGGGAAGGAGCCCAGCAGTGAGGGCCCCCATCCTGCCCTCCCTTGCAGCCCTTCTTCTTGCTTTCTGGTGGGCTGAGGCAGAAGGGGACTTAAGGGTGAGGATTGTGTGGGATGGGGCTTTTTGTTTTGTGGTGGGTTTTTGTTTGTTTGTTTGGCTGCTTTGTTTTAGCAACAACCAGGCTAAGAGGTGGTGGTGACAGTGGGGCAAACTCAAGGGCCCTGCAGCCTGCTGCTGCCCAGGGCCGCTCAGCACTCCACGCCTTCCAACTTTTTCAGACATGTTGAAACCTGGGAGGCAGGCAGCCCCATTAACATTTTCTTTCTAAGCAACAGCTCCTCTTGAATTGAGGTGTCCTGTGAGTAGTCAGTCTGTATAAATGTCCACACTGTGGCTGGCATCATAGTGGCCACTGAAGACACCGTGAGGGGCTGTCCTCAGTCAGCCCAGTGGCCCCCTCAAATGCCAGCCCCAGACATCTACACACAAAGGAGGACAACTTAGGGCCTCTCCCATCCCCTTCCCTCCAACTTCATCCACTGAAATCAACAAACCCAGAGAGAGAGAGAGGAAAAGAGAGAGGAGTGTTATGTGAACGGGTGTGTCAGTGCTTGCCTGCACATATGTGTGTGTACACACACACACACACACACACACACACACACACACACGAGAGCATGTGGAAAAACAAGAGCAGGCCATGCGCTGGGAGCAGAAATTGACTCATCAGGCATCAACTTGTTCCTGCAAAGTATCCATCAACTGCTAATAAACCCGTGAGCACTGGCAATCTTTGAACTTTGTGCCGAGGGAGTTCAGTTCTGAAGACTCCACCGAAAGACCCACAGCAGCCCTGGAACCCAGAAGGCTCCTGGCTGCGAGCGCGTCCTCTTTGTGGGGCCCAGGGCGGTCGCCCACTTCAGGGAGGAGGGTGTTTTGAAATGGAAGAAGCCCTGTGTGTCTTATCCAAACTCAACAACAAACCCTGCCTGGACTCTGCTAGTGGTGTTGGGGGGGGGGGTCGGGGGACCCTCAAACAGCACTTGGCTGAAACCTGGCACCACTGGGCTAGGGGGAGGAGGGGGAGGAGCTGCAGAAAGGGGAGCAGGAGGAGGGCTGGGAGGCGGTCCCCCCTTGCTACCTCAGGAAAAGGTGGGGGCCCAGGGGCTGAGGGAGGCGGGCGGGCTGGGCCTGAGGGGAGAAGGGGAAGCGTTCAGGCGGGTTTCTCTTTCATCTACACAGCCCGCCAGTCCACCCAGCAATTTGCTGCCAGACATCCCCTGGAAAAAGCCTTTTTCTGTTGCGGTTAATGGCCCAGCCCAGATAAACGGCAATGTGTGGGTGTCCCCTGAAAGCCTGCCCAGCACCCAAACCCAACACATGGCAAGACCCCTGGCCCCACTGTCACCCAGCAACCGCCTACCCACCCACCTGCCACAGCAGTTCCACTTTCCACTGCCTGGACGATTTCTGAACCAAAAAAGTAAAGTCTCTTCTGGCAAAACTATGTCTAGTGTTCCCTTCCCTCCTTCCGCAGACCCTGAACTGAATACCATGCTGTCAACACAGAGATCCCCTACTCTGGCCCAATTCCCCCTTACTTGGGCTTGCTTCTGGGAACCCCTCAGTGTCATCTTCAGAGAAACAGAGTTCCCTGAAGCGGGCCCACAGCCCACAAGAGTCTTCTCATAGAGGGCTGTATAGGAGCTCTGCTTTAAGGGGCTTTCCAGGGACTGTGGGGAGCTCAGAAATCCTTGGGTGGTTCAGCCAACAGTTTACTTGCTGCCTGAAAGCCGGAGGCTCGACTCCATCCAGAGGTACTTCAGAAAGAAACAGCTCATGATTGACTTTCAAAAAAAGTCAGCCACTGAAAACCTCAAGGAGCCTGTTCTACTGTTACACATAAAAGGTCTTCATGAGTCACAAGTGGACTCAATCGTAACTGTGTAACTGGTTACAACTGTAATGGGTTTTTTTTGTTTCTGAATTTTAGTTTGAGACTATTACTAAAACCCAACTTTTTTGGCTTCTTACCTGCTGTTGCTGGTATTTAACCTCTGAACAGACACTACACACACACTACACACACACTCTCTCTCTCTCTCAGTCATTTATTAATTTCCCTCAGCTTTATAACTTTTTCCAGTATTTCTAAACACTTTTCTCCCTCCCCAGAAAACTGCAAGTTCTTGTTTGAAAACTGTATGTGTTCTTTTTAAGGCGTCCTAAAGAAAAGCTAGGTTGTAAATTGCTAACTAATCAGATGTCTTCCCACAATCCCTCCCCCTTTTTTATTACAGTTTAGAGATTTTTCTGGAGCAACACCAAAAAATGCTGTATCTACCCTAAAACCTTCCACTTTAAGGTGTTTCCCTCCTCTTCCCTCCTGAGTTCCTTTAAAGTATAAAATCTGCCCTTTAAAGGGGGGGAGAGGGTGGGTGTGCACAGTTTGTGTCTTGCTTTGCACATTCTTGAGCAAAGACAACTTAACAAGCTACTCACAGAGAGTTATTTAAATCACCTTGGTCATGAATGAACAAACCAGACCCTTCCCAGAAGACCAGAGGCTCATGAATGAGTCCCTCACTTGGGGTCTCAATGGCATGGGTGACCAGACCTTAAGGCCACATCTCAGGTTAAGCAAGGAATGTTCCCTTTCATTTTCCATTTAGAGGTGTGAGGAGATGAGGAAATAGGGGATACAGGGGCCAATAGGTCAAGCTGAGTGTCTTAGCAGTACCGTTTCTAGATTCTGACTTACACGCCTACGTGATCTACCGAAGAGGCCAGAGAGGCAGAGGGGACGTGCATGAGAGTGGGGCCAGCTGGGCCTGGCTGTGTGTACACACACACACACACACACACACATACACATAGAGGTGGTGTCCATGGAGGGGACCCCCAAGACTATGACCTGTTAAAACAGGAACATACCTAGCCCAGTAACTAGTATCCTTTGAGGTCAAATAAGCCTTTCTCTCTCGGTCAAATAAGTGTGTGTGTGTGTGTGTGTACTTAATAGAAAAGAGAGGGAAAGGTCTCAATTCTCTCATCCCCAGTTGGATGAATAAAGGGCTGTTTCTCAGCCAGAGACCAACAGGGAAGTGGGCCTGTGAGCTCCCTCCCCAGTGGGCCAGCAAAGCAGAAGGCTGAGTTTGAGCAAGTTGAGGGGAGGCTGGTCTCTAGTGTCAATCAGGGTACATGAAGGGCAGAAGGTGTTGCCTCAGAAAGTTTAACCCCGAAACACAAACATCACCACACCTTGCCAGCAGCAGGTCCAGGGTCCTCCCCTCCCCAGGGGTTGCCTCATCTCGTCCTTTCCCCTACCTCCGACATCTCAAAGGTTAACAGCACTGAGTCTACCCTGCTCTCCACCCCTGGCTCAGGAAACTGCCTGTTCTAACATCAGCCGGCCACTGAGATAAAGGGGACCCAGTGCCAATTTATTGGCGCCATTCTCAGCCTAAAAAAAAAAATCTCCATGAGCCAGGATTCTTGTTGGGCACTTGTTTCTTAAGTAGTAAATGACTGAAAATGAACATTTTATCTTAGCATGAAAAAGGCTGAGGTAGGTTCTGGGGTCCATTTGAGTTTTCCTCCTTGCTTACAACTTAAAAGGACCTCCTGGGCTCTTCCAGGTTCCTGAAGAGACTACACAGTGGGCAAGACAGCTCTGGATTTAGAGCAAATTACCCACAGGGATTGTAACAAAGAAAGTATCTCAGGTTAATCTCAGTCACACCTCCCGCCTTCCCCAAAAAAATGCTCGGCTCTAACCCATCATGACCCAGAATTCTTCACCAAGTGGAACAGAGAATGAATTCTGGCTGGTCGAAAACGGGACTGAGAGAGCACAATCCTTTTCACACACCTCTGCATCCA